GTGATTTCAAAGTAATTTTGAGTGATAAATATTTTTTTTGCGATCATTGCACTTGCCCGGCGGGCAAATGCAATGAAATGTGTACTCTCCCAACAATAAAAACTACTTGGACATCGGGCGATGGTTAACATTGAGCCCTGCTAATATAGCCTCAGACTGCTGGGGGACATAGGGAACACTTCATCATTCGATACTATTCTTCCACTCTGTAGCATCTGTAGGCTGAATTCCTAATTTAAAGTTTTCCTTATCTCATAGTATCTAGTAATAAAAAAAAAAACAACACTTGATTATAAATGATAGATTTAGGCCTGTTTTTCAGTGTTTAGTCCCATTTCTGTCCTAGACAGCTCAGCTTTTACTTTGACAACGTATGTGGTCTTTCATCCTTCTTCATTTTACATGAAAACTGGTTTTTAGCTCACCTGCTTATCCCTCTCTTTCCTAGAGAAAGCCACCTATTAAGCTAGTTCCCAGTTATCTTTGAACATAGAAAATATTTCTACATCAGTGCTTCTATATTAATTATTTACATTTGCCTCAGCAGAAGACCCCTTACACTGACCCTGGTTCTGTTGGGGCCCTCTACCTGTTGAAAGAGTTTTTTTTTTTTTATGCTCGTTATGAGGAACTTCTATAGAGCCAACATAGATGTAAAACCAATATCTACTGTCACCACATCCTATAAAGTCAATAACTGAATGCAATTAGCCTGTTCTTTTCTTAAAAATGTTTTCAACCAATCTGACTGGATAATCTGATTGATTCATCTCTTAAGGGCCTTGTAATTACATGTGTTCTGAACGTACACTTTATATTAAAATCTATCCCTTCATTCAGCTGGTCAACAATGAAGCATTTTTTTAGATTTGTCATCCTAAAGGACAGATAAATGATCACATTTTATCTTGCAACAGCTTTTCCTCTGGGACTGACAACTCCAGTACTCCAATGTCGGTTTCCTGCCACTTACAGATGTGTCCCTGGTTCAACACAGCCAAATAAGATGGCTGAATTACATCCTCAGTATGCAGGTTCTCCAGAGTCTTGGTAATCATCTGATTGTTGGGTTGAAAGTGTCTTAAAGGAGGAACGCATCTAAAAGTCTCAAGATACTCGCCTTGGAGCCCTGCGGACTGAAGTTGCTTATCCTGGTACTAGATAGACTCATCCTGTTATTCAAAGAGTATATGTATATGTATTTGATATACTGGTATATGGTATCATTTATGGTGGGAATGAGTAAATGTTTTGGTCTTTAATGATCTTGTTCCAACGTGTCATGTCTTTACTTATCCTATCCCATTTATTAGCATTTGCTGTTAAAATATATTACATTTTTTACCCACCTAAAGATCAGGGTAAACTTCTACAAATAAATGGAAATTAACACCATATCACAAACAAATGACCAATATTAAATTTATAAGCAGAACTTATCTTTCTCAGTCTGACCACATTTCTGCAGATGCCTTCAATCTCTTCTTTGAGATGAGAGTCCAAACTGCATCAACTAAAACAACCCAGGGGGGCTCCTTTGGCGTCACTACCTTTAAGTAATGGCAGATGGGAGCATTAAGGCTTTGGTTCGACTGTTTCTCTGGTACATCAGTTGGAAAAGTTAAAGTGCCCAAGGCAAAGATAAGTTTGACATCAATGCAACTGAGATCAATACCATAAGAGGTTTTGTATTTGTTAAAGTTTAGATCCTGCAAATCTGTATTGCCCAAACTTGATTTAAGCATAATTCACATTTCTTTTAAGGCCACTCCATACAAAAAAAAAAAAAGTCTGTCAACACATGTTACAATTTAATGTTTCATAATTTAGCTGGTATTGTTGAAATAGATTTGAACCAACAAATCTGGTTGCAAATGTACCATTTACAACCAAATTAATATATTTCAGTGGTTTGATATACAAGTAGAAAAAACAAAAGACTTAATTTGGAAGGAATGAGAGAAAATAGACTAAAATATATTTATGCTCCTATTTAAGAAGCAAGAAAGTCCATCCAACAACTATACAAGCCACCTTTGAGTTCATTGTTCAAATTTTAGCTGCAGTAAAAAGCAATAAAGCCAGCAGTTCACTTTCAGCTGATAACAAATTCGCCTCTACATTCTTAAACTAGTTTCATTCATTAACCAAACCATACAGGGTAGAAGTGAAGGCAAACTATACAAGTGCCATAAACAAGTTGTATTCAATGTTAATCTTTTCATCTTAGAGTAAACATTCTAGATAAAATTAGAGTAATTACCATCGGTTTTAGGGCTGGGTATTTTCGCCAAAGTTTGATTTTGATTCATACAGTTCTAAATCGAATAATCCCGATTAGATCTGTTTTTACAATAATGAAAGTGGTTCAACTGTGTTTAAATAAAATACTCATGTATTTAATCATTTCCTGTCAAATTAAACACAAAGTGCAAACTTGTAAATCGGACAGTTTAAACTTGAGATGTGAACAAAACTGTCTTATAAATGCAAACTTGTTTGTGAAAAGTGAAAAAGTGAAGCCTCACTCGAGTGAGCAGCCGTGACACAGCGGGGACACAGCAGACATGCATGAGCTGCGTTATCTTCACTGCACAAACCATATGTGCAGCGTTGTCTGTAACAACTACAGGGTGTTTGCTGGTCAGCCCCCATTTGTTAATGTCTTCAGTCAACCTATTGGCTATAGTTGCAGCTGCCTGGCTTGAAGTCATCTTGAGTGCATCTTTCCTGCTCATTTGAATGTGAACATCTCACTATAAAACGAATCAATCTCATTCCCTAGACATCAATTTTGCAAAAATGTAAAGGAATACCCCCATTCACACGAACCACTAGTGTGGCAAAAAATTTTTTATAAAAAACTAAAATCATTCAGTTGATCTAAACCACTGTAGCGACAGTTCTGAGGATAAATAAAAAAAGAAAGATTTTTTTTAGATTTGTAAAATAGAGTTAGAGAATAAAATTTAAAATACTCTAAGCCCCAAACAGCCACAGCAGAGAACTGACTGTTCCTGATGATCCAACAGAGCAATTAACTGTAAATCTGCAGTTTAAGAAGGGCTCTTAGAATTTCTATAACTAAATGGGAGGCAGATCTTAATTCAAGAATATTTATGGGAGACATGCGTCCATCACAGATAGGTTGGACATATTGAATGACAATGTTTCCAGCATTTCCATTTATATATAGTTGACTTATAACAGTATGATTACAGCAACAGCTCTGATTGCATTTGAAAATCAACTACTTACTGCAAATGGAAACCACGTTTAAGGGGACATTTTTAAATATTATTGGCTAGGCTCTTGGTTGATTATGAAATACCAAACCTGTCAGCCAGCTCCTTTTAACCAACACCCATTACCAGGAACACAGCGACAACACGACACCAGCAATGTACCGTTCGTTCTAGCTTCCCCTCTGTAACAATGGGGCAGGTTCCAACAAACGCCCTGGGCAATTTATACCATTTGATAAGCAACTCATTATCTAACAGCAGGGCAGTATGAGCGCTGCATTGGCAATGGGGCAAAGTACTGTATGTTGATGCCATCAACTAAAGAGGTTTGTTTGGCTGCCACATTTTCAGAGCAGGTAGAGCATTTGCATGGATTAGTGCACAGACCAAGTTCATTATTGTAAATCCTGGTTTGTGCACAAAAAAATTGCACCGTTATCTTGTTATATCTAAATGCACATTATTTAGAGAAAACCTTATTGTGTCTTCCAGTCTTTCGTCCCAGAGGAACCCATCAAGACAGCAGTGTTATTTACAAGTCAATTTCAGATTATAGGAACCAAATTGTTGGTGAAAGAGATTTTATTAGCAGCATTGGGAAAGAAAAAACAGAAAAAAAAATGGATCAAGCTCATGACGTTCAGATAAAGTTGTGTCGCCATTTTTCTAAAACTCTACAAACCTCAGACAAGAGGACTAAAGCAAAAAGCAAAAGAACCAAAGACTCCAACCAGATTAGGGCTGCAACTAACAATTATGTTGCAGATTGCTTAATCTTTCGGTTATTCGATTAATAATCGGATAGCCAAAGATGCTTTAAAGAAGACTTTTTTTACTAAATAAAACCAGGTGAAACTGAACTTTTTCACTTGAGGAGCTCTGGATAGAACATATTGACAGTCGACAGAGTTTTTCGCTGATGAAGGTTCTCAGTCATCCAGGTCATAGTCAT